AGCTTGATATTTCATCTTTCTTGCATAATCACGCCATGCACGTCACAGCCGTCTTTTTCTTCTTATTGATTAGGCTCCTGCCTCTCATGTATATTGACAACACGGTCAGATCGTCTTTATGAGAGATATAAAAACTAAAAGTGGTGCAATGCCCACGAAAATGACGAAGCCCGCCCGGGTATGGACACTGGGCGCCTGCATTTACGGCGTCACGCGTGGACGCGCATCAGGACGAACGGGTCGTTCAAAATCAGGAGACGACTATGTGTATTTCAATGCTCAGTCAAAGTTAGCAACACTTTCAAAAATAACTTGTAGCACCCGAGCTGAGACGCATCCATCGTGAGCGAGTGGTTCTTCAGAATTCCGATCAAAATAATTAAAAAATTAAATATTAATTTTGAATATCCGCCATCGATAGCTTGATACGCGGGGAATAGGAATTGCCTGGCAAGCGCCTCACACTTCGTACCAACGCGAGTCACAAACGTCATAACTAAAATGTGCAGCATCCAAGCGCTTGTACTGCCATCTACTGTCAGATGGTGCAATAGTACATTTTTCTTCTGATCGACGACATTAATAAAGTCAAAGATTTCAGATTTTACATCGCAATATCTCCGCTCGTAGGGCACGTAGAGAAAAATACTTTCTTTATATATTTTGAGCGGATGCAATCGATTGAGCACACTTAGAATCTGATCAGTTCAGCTCTTATTGAGATCCAATAATCTCAATTTCTGGCAACTTGCCGGTTCACGTAAAGTCTCCACGGCAGTATCGCTGCGCGTAGCTTAGCATCGAGATTACCAATATTTCCAGATAAATTAATTTGATTTAACAAATATTTCTTTTTATTGAGTAAATATTTATTTATTGTAAGTAAATGTTCAGTTGGCTGATTAAACTCAACATTTATTAAAAAATTTCTGTTTTCTTATAAAAATTAGAACGCTTCAGAAATGTTGAAAAATATATATCTTTTTTAAAATCCTTTATATATGAATTCTGTAATATTCTAAGATTTTTCATTCTATACTCTCCGAAAAACATAAAATTTGAAGAAGATTTTTATAAGTTCTCTAACTAGTGTGACTATTTATACATTGATATTCTAAATTATAATCATATTCTGATATGATAAATTTATAAAAATATTATGGAATATTATGAAAACTTTTTTTTCATCAGAGTGATATTGCTTTTATATATTTTTCACCAGAGTGACATTGCTTTTATAACGAGAATAGAAATAATATTGCTATTTCTTTATGTAGTGAATTTTCAATATGAACACACAGTTCTAGTGTACTAATCATACATGCATCGCCAAACACCAACTATGCAACAGGATTAACAACTATAGCGGCGGTTTCGACTATAGCAACATGACAATATTTGTGAAGCAGAATCGTCCGTGTGATCCGATTATAGAAAAAGTGAAAAGATACAAAATTGATAACCGATGATCATTGATAACAATTTTGCATGAAATATAGAGCTTTAAAATGCTTCTTCACCAAGCTCGAAATCATTTTTTGTTGTTATTCTAAATTTAAGATCATCGCTATCAGACCGCTATCATTAGCTAAAATTATTAGTTGTAATTCTTTCTAATATGAGCTGTATGAAGTTCGACTAGTTGTAATTGAATTTTATTGCGTGCGTGCATACGTGAGTGTGTTCAATTCTGATCAATCTAACTCCACGCAGTTCATATTAGGAAAAATTACAATCATAATTTTGATCAATAACGGTATTTTAAATCGGAAATAATTTAGTAAAAAGCGCTCGCATCGAGCTCAGTAAAGGACTAGTTTAAAAATAATACTATTCTTTCAAGTGCATTTTGTTCCATTGACCTGTGACATCTGATTCACGTCACGTCATGTACTATTGCCAGGGTAGTGGTGGGAATTAACTAATTACTTGTAACTAAGTTACAATTACAGTTACTTTTTTTCAGTAACTGTAACTTAACTAGTTCCTTTTTTCTATCTGTAACTGTAACTTAATCTAGTTACAGTAGTAGTTTCTTCCAACTACTAATTAGTAACTAATTTAACAATAAAGTAACTTTTACATTTAACAATAAAGTAACTTTTTAAATTTATTTGTCAATTTAATGTGATTGATTAAAATCTGAATACTGATTAAAGCTATGATCCACTTGATGCTACAAATGCTTCGAAGTATTTTTTGATCAGCTTATAAAATTCTTTCTTTCAATTGATCAATCAAATGTTTTGAAGTATTTGTAGTGTTAAAAGTGCGTTTCCACTTTACATACGCAACACTCGCGTGTATCATTTTATTATTTTTAATATTTGTAAACAACAAGGTTAAAGTATGTTTTATAACGCAGCCCAGAGCGAGTATTTTATTATTTTATCTGTTATTTGAATTATTTCGTATTCCCGTGAAATTTAAAGAATTTTTAAATAAAATTATATATTGAAAACGTAAATTTGTTTCTTTGAGCACTAATGATATTGATGTCACTCATATTATTCTGTCATAATAACTGAAAAATAAAGGGCTCTGCACAATAAAAAGAATAGGGAACAGAGAATAGAGAATAAGAATTTCAACCTATCAGAAACTGTGTATTCCACAATACATGATTTCTAATAGATTGAATTCTTATTCTCTGTTCTCTTATCTTATGTTCCTTATTTCTTTTATTGTGCCCCTAACTGAAAAGTTACTTTTTTAGTAACTGTAATTGTAACGAATTAATTTTTAGTCTCAGTAACTTGGAATTGTAACTAATTACTATTGAAAGAAAAAAATTGTAATTGCAACTAATTATTTTTACAAAGTAACTTTTCCTGACTATTGCAAACTCGGATTTTTGATTATCAATTTGATTATCATCTTCTTACTTCGTTATCTGCCATTTAAAAATAATAGCCGAAAATTTCTGAAAATGGAGCTTCATTGTAATATATTTTTATCTTTATTATCACATTTGAAATTTGATAAATTATTTCCAAATTTTGCTTTACTGAGTAGTAGAATTATTACATGTAATGTTATTATAATAATCGAAAATGTAATTAATGTTATTACAATTATCGAAATAATTAGTGTAAATAATTATTATATTATTATTTACATATTTGTAATAATATCTCATAAAACAATTGCAGTCATTGCTATTTCAATCTTCACAAATTCTTTCACTTTAATACCTGGAGCGTAAATTCCATGCAGCAACGCCTGTAAAGCGTAGAATAAGTGTAGCTTCATAGCGCTTTCACAACACTTTCCGAGCGCGCTTTACAAACGCTGCTATACTACGCGGGAAATGCTATAAAACTGCATTTATCCTGCGCTGATATCTATACGCTTTTATATAGCGTTTTCTGAGCGTTTTGCAGATGCTGTTATAAAAGATACTGTTAACGTATTACGAAACTGCATGTTCTGCACCAATTGTATGCGCTTATGTGCACTTTTCAGAATGAATTTTGAAAACGCTTTTAAAGCATTAAAAAACTGCTAAAAACATGCACCTGCATAAGCGTTTTTTTAGTGCTTTATAAGCACTGCTGTGCTATAGCAGTAAGTAATTTTATCATGCTTATTCTGGAATATGAAACTAATACTTGTTTTAATAAAACTGGATTAATTTTTTTACCAAGATTGTAATGTTCTATTAAATATTTTTTCTAATATTTACCACAATATTTACGATAAATATTTCATAATAAATATGATAAGTCTTCATAATCAGCAATCTAAGACCACAATAATATTTACAAAATATGATTATTTTAACAAATTTTTAAATTTAAACGGGACTCCCCTATATAAATAGTTCAATGTTTTACAAAATAACACCAGAATTTTTTCAGATTTGTTTAGACAATTTTAATTCGTGCCATTGGTGTACGGATAAATGGAAAAACACCTTTGCGGACAAAATTCAGCCGACGCTTTAATTCTTATTCAATTTAAATATTTTTTTTTTAATTTGTTCAAAATTGAATGAGCTAAAAGCTCATTCTGTATAAATTTGAATTACGTTTAAAATAAAAATGGCCGATTCAATGAAATAAGCAAAAAGAAATTAAAATTATTCGATAACGAATATTAAATCGCGCGTGGCTATTTTTAATTAAAGAAAAACTTTGAAATTGGTTAAGAATTAGAGCATCGACTGAATTTTTTTGTCTACTATGCATGCCTTAACATTTAGAAAGATTCTGCAGTTAAGTTTTTGTTGAAAAATAGATGCGATGCAAATCGGTGTTGAATCGCGGTAAAAATAGATATGCAAGATGCAAATGCGTGATACATTTTATTACGTATATCTATTTTTGATACTGCGATTTAAAATCGACTTGCATATCGTTTTTTTTTTAACAAAAAACTTAACTTGCAGAGCTTTTTTTAGGCTCCTCCCAATGAGCGGAAAAATTTGGCTGATACTCTAATTCTTAATCAATTTTGAAGTTTTTTTAATTTGCTCGAAATTGAATGAACTATAGACACTTAAAGTCATCAATCCAATGAAGTAAGTAAAAAAATCAATATTACATGATAACGAATATTGGATCGGCCATTTTTAATTTGGACCATAATTAAAATTTACGCAGAATGGGCTTTTAGCTCATTCAATTTCGAACAAATTAAAAAGAACTTTAAAATTAGTTAAGAATTAGAGCATCGGCTGAATTGTATCCATAAAAGTGTATTTCCGTCTTCCATGTCTCGTAGGCACGGATTAAAATTATTCAAAAAAGTCAGAAAAAATTCTAGTTTTTTTGAGATATTAAATCATCTTTGGTGATGTCCTGATTAAATTTAAAAAATTATTAAAATGACGATCATCTTTACATATACCGTTTTTTATATACATTTTTTAACACTTTACGTTTTAAACGCTTTATAAGCATTATGTGTTACTTGGAATCAAATTGAAATTAGATATCGCGCGAGATTTAATCATCCAATGGCAGGCCTTTGGGTAATTTTAGTTGTATGATACACAGAGACTGCGCTACATTGCGGGATGCTGTATAATCAATACTGTCATGCTCCGGACCAAAAAGCGGAATCGAGAAACTGCGTGTCATCTAACAATATCATGAAAACTGAAAGACACACTTGTGCACCAGATATCGATGGTGAGTGAGGATATTTTTCGATTTTTACGTCAACTATTTAAATATCTAGAAAATCTAGGAAGTGATGATGCTCACATCATTCGAGATGACATTCTCTCCCTCTCTCTCTCTCTCTCTTTCTCTTTCTTTCTCTTTCTCTCTCTCTCTCTCTCTCTCTCTCTCTCTCTCTCTCTCTCTCTCTCCAATGTTCTCTGCATAAAACATTGCATAAAGAATAATCGTTGTATTTGTTATAAATCTCTAAGATAAATCAGAATCATAGATGTTAATTAAACGAAGATAAAAATATAAAGTATAAAAATTTCTCTTACAGAATAATATAGTTCAGAGGTATAATAATATTTAAAATAAAAACTAAAATAAATATAAGAGTAAAATAATTCAGATTACTTCAATTGTTCGATTTTCTAGAAAAATAATAAATATTATAATTCGGCTCAAAATTTAATTTTAATATTAGATTAATATTATATTAATAAATAAAAAGGGGTCATGAGTCAAAGCAAGTTATTGCTGATATTTTAATATAAAACATTTTATAAACAAACTTTTCGATTTTCTAGGAGAGTCTTCCCAATGCTAAAATACATAATAAAGTCAATTTTAAACTAAATAGTAAAATTAATAATAAATTAATCTCTCCATTTCGATAAGTAACTGTATATTGTACATGGGTTATATTGTACATGTCAATCAAACTGTTTCACTACTGGACTTCTTAGTTAAAATAATACTTTTAAATTCAAATCAATTGATGTGTTCAATGAAGTGTTAATTGATTGTTAATAAGCGTCTAATTAAAAATATGTATTTTTATCTAGTTTAAAATTGACTTTAATACTTATTTTAAAATTGAGAAATTGAGAAAGATCCCGATAAAGATTAATTACAGTGAAAATTTAAAAGTAAAATATTGTATATTTCCGAGAAAAAATATTATGCATATGGACATATTTTATATATAATTATATATAATTATATAATTACAGGTATAGGTACATATATTTTAATTTTGCAAAGTTTCAGATTTTTACGAGTTTTCAGATTGAACCTTTCTTATATAAGTATTCCCATAGCTGTAATTTTTGATACACTATAGCGCGTT